CTCTAAGTGTAAAGCCACTCATCCATAATGATGCCTAGGACTTATCCATTCTAATCTCGGCAACACTTAGTTTTATGCTTCTCTTTTAAAGGCCAACATTTCAAATTCAATTAAAAAAAAATCTAAAATCTACATTTTACGACCTTATTTTTATTGAGTTCTTTTGCAGTTGATAAAATGGAGTGGTCGAAAGAGGTGAAGGAAGATGGCTTTTGATGCAGTGATACGATAAAATTATAAAAAAAAAGTTGAAACCTTAAGAGGTACGATTGCACAATATAAACTGGATTTGTGAAGGGAAGATTGCAGAGATGTCGTTTTGGTTTTATATCTCATTTTTATTGCAAACAACCTTATGAAATTATGGATCTTTGATTTAGGTTTGTGTTTCTATTCTTACTCAAAAAAGTTGGGCATTGTTTGATTTGACTTTATTAATGTCAATATCAAATTATTTTTTGATCATATTCAATGACGCAAAGATGATACATCGCTTTTTGCTTTCAGTAACAAGATCCATGACACTGGTTGAAAAACTGATATATGCTACAAACCACTAAATCTCAAATAAGTTTGGAGGTTGGCCCTCAGATGTCATATTGATAGTAAATGAACTTTGCGTTTTTTGTGTCACTGTTGAAAATGGGTTCATTTGTGTTTTGCTAACTTGTTTACATCACATTCACATTTCTCAATATTAATTTCTTTTGAATAATTAAAAAATATAAGACTAATAAAGAATGTATGACCAAACTGCAGTTGTTGATAATCATGGCCCCCTTCTCCCTTCCGTTTGAATCATGGCTATGGCTTCATTTAGTGAAAGTAAATTCTCTTTTTTGAAAATTTGTATTATTAGAACATCAAACTTAGCATTTATTCCAACATGAAAATTGTAAGTCGACTTAATTCAACAAACTTTTTAGGGAGAATTGCTTCTCTTTTGTGTTTCATTTGGATGCATTGATGATGGTTTTTCCATTGCCTAATGCCTTGCAATATATTGGAATATTTTGTGATAAATCATCTTCAATGCTTTTTGGATGAGATCTTAGTGTTGATCTCATATATTTTGGCCGCATCATGGAATTTTGATTTCTCTTGATTTATCATATTCTATATTATCTTTGTTGAATGAAGGAACGTGCGGGTATTACTTATTTTAGAACTGTAGAGTTCCATAGCCAGTGCAGGTATTACTTATCTTAGGACTTACTTAGCTTAGTGTTCATCCCAAGTGGTGAACGTGGAATTGCTTTGTTGAGGTCTAAAGGCAAGCAAATGAACCAACTTTTCTCCTCCTTTTAGGAAGGCGTGAACTAGTTGCGTCAAGTTTAATACAAATATCTACGTATATTCCACCCAGTTCTTATATATTCAATTATCTAACACCTGAAATTTGATATTTACATACATATCACTAAAATCTTTGACATCATGTGAAAATTATCACTATGACTAACTTTTTAATAGTAAAATACATCTTATTATGCATTGATTTTTAATAACAATGTGTTATAAATGTAAATATCAAATTTTAGGTGCTAGATATGTAAAATAATAAGAATTGTGCGGTAGGTATGTAAATTTCCCTTTTAAATAATTTTTTTATTCAGACAATATGTTGAGTGAATATTTTTCAATTCTCCTATTGATTTTATCCAAGGGAACATGAGTATTGTTATTGTACTTGGGAATAAAAATTGTGATAGTTATTGGTTGCAAAAAGAGAGAATTATAGAAAGAAGATTGCAGCTATGCAGTTCACAATTATGTCAAAATTGGGCTGAAGAAAGAGAACTGCAATAATGAAAGCTACATGATCATAGCAACACAACAATAAAGATTGTGTCTTATGGGAATAAAAAGAAAAAAAAAAGGCCTAAATCTCTTATACTATGGATGGAATTAGAAATAATTGGTTGTTCATTGCATTCCATTATTTGTGCAATATTTATCTAATCCTACAAGTGTTAATAATTGAAAATATTTAAAATAAAAATATTAATTACAGAGTAATTATTATAGTCTCATGAATTGGTCAGATGGCATCAAATGATCTTATGGTCCAGAAGATTGCAATGGAAAGAAGAAATAGGGCAAGGTGGAAAGCAAGATGGAAAATGAAATACATGCAGTATTTGCATATGTTTTTTTTTTTTAAATAAATCTTTATTGTATAATAGCTGAGCTGTTTAATCAAACAAGTAAAAACCTGTTATTATTTGCCCTTGCCTGTTCAATAATTTTCATAAGCTTTTTCCAAATCATTTTGCTGTTTGGTCCATCAATTACTTTCAAACTTAAATAGTGTTCTTTTATTAGTATGAAAATTTGATTGTGTTCTATATAAAAATGACATAAGCTTCACGGATATGCTTATTCATCTAATGCAGTTATGCGGTACCTCTCTTTTTTCTTGTATCAGTAACGTTTTAGTTATTGTTGACCATATGATTATTATTTTTTTTTTGGCATAATATTTTCTTGCTAGTTCACTTGGTATAGTTTATTACCTATATTTATATTGTAATGTATTATATTGTTGATGATATTTTTCCTTTGCTGTAATGGGACAACAAAATTAGTGTTATAAAAGGTTTCTCTCTAGCTTAATAAGAACTGATGCTAGAGTATTTTTCTTTTATTAAAGTAGATGTTTATTTTAATATAATAATGCTCCAACCACATCTTGTGCCGTATAAAATTAATCTCTTCTTTATAAGTGCAGCTTTTGTGCCAGTTCGAACGAAACTCTGTTCTTAAGTTTTTGGAGACGTTTGATAACTATAGACTGGAGCACTGTTTGAGACTCTGTCAAGAGTATGGTGTTACAGATGCGGCTGCATTTTTGCTGGAACGAGTTGGTGATGTTGGGAGTGCTTTAGTAGTCCTAATGTCTGGACTTGATGAAAAAATTGAATTACTTGTTTTTGCTGTGGTCAATAAATTCTCTGACGCTACTTCAAGAAATATGTCTGAGACAGAGCAACTTGCTGATGCCTTGAAACTTACAGAGGTTTGTAAATGACTTCTGTGCTCTGTTTTAAAGCGGTTTAAGCTTTTATCCAGGGGGTAAGAACAGCATTGCTGGTTTATGTTCTTCAGGCTTATGCAGTGCATGATGTTTTACGTGCCTCAGTTGGCTTATGCCAAAGGAACACTCAACGTTTGGATCAACAAGAATCAGAATCTCTTTGGTTTCGGTTATTTGACTCGTAAGCACAATTTTTTTGAAGCTGATTTAGGTTTGGCCGTGCAGATTGTTGAATTCATTTTTCCTTACAATTCTGTCACACGTTATTATCAAAGATGTTTTGCATTTTTTTTTTCTTTAAACTCTCTTCTCTATATTTTCCTCTAAAATTTTAGAGCAGGCATTGTTTGGAGTTAGATCTTAGAAGGAAGTTATTTGGTGTATATTAAATATGTAGAATTACTTTCAAACTTTGTGTGTGTACTAGTGAATCACCTGTACACATCCCTGCACATATTAAATTCTTAGTGTGCAACAACAAATTCTTGGCATGCATAGGCGGAGTGGTTTTACACAACAGGAATTTGATGTCTACAAGGTCGAGAGCTGATAATTTTATTTGCAATGCAAAACTTGCTTCATAATGATTTAAATTTTAATGGAGTCGAAATCAAAAATGATTTTCTTTGACTTGGGCTGGCTCGTTAATATTGGTTTGATTCTAACTCAAAATCAAGTCAAAACATGTAATAATACAAATTTTTGTGTCACATTGTCGACAGTAAAAAAGAAGAAGTTGGTTAAAGTTTGTAGGTTGCCCGTAAGAAGCTGTCGGTCGCTGGAAGTGAAGTCCCGTCGCCCGCTTCGGAAGGACGTTTTAATTTACATATATATA